TTATTCGGCGAGACTTGGACACAGCTTCAAGTTTGACGAGGCTGAATTTGCCACAATATGTGGTAATCACGTGAGCCGCGAGCTGATTGAGTCATGGTTCACGGACCCCCATCGCAATAACAATGAGCTCCGCACGCTCTGCTGAGGCATAGTTTCGCCAATGCACTTAGCCACAGAGAGAGCGCACGCCCGGTGAAGATTTTTTCCAACCAGACGGTCGAGCAATCATCACACTAAAATCCAACATGGCTAATAAAATGTCAGGGATTAACGACGCAAATGCCGGCCAACAAGCAGTTATTGCTCCAGATGAAGTCGGGGAGCCGGATGTTAACTGTCATTAATATATAAAGGCATAGAAACTGCATCCCCTAAATACTAAAATTCCCTGTGTTTGAAGTGCCTACAGCTGAGGCCATTTCTGGCGATGGTTTCGAGCAGGAGTCTGAAACGTCCGACGAATAAAGTTCATCTATCGAGAGCTAGTTGCTCTCTCGACACCAGAAGGATCACCAAATCACAAGTCTGGGAAGGCTGAATGAATTTGAACAACTTTACCGAGCTCAAGACGCTTTACAGTGACGCCACGTAAGATAGCCAGCCGCTTAAGAGAAAGTGACAAATGTTGGCTGTGAGATGAGTAATCTGTCGGTTGCAGCCAATCAGACGAGGCGGAAGTATAGATTGACTACGCGCGTACACGCGGGGAATTGACATCGAGCGTGCAAAAGGACAATAGCGCGCAGCGAGCAAAGCTCAGCGCACGAAATTTAGCCTGAGTCAGCTCAGCTGCTCTGGGCGACGGATTCCTACACTTCCCCCAGCCATCCCGTCCACTTCCCAGTTAGTGACGGTCGTAAATGAACGTTCGCCTGCTGCTAACGGACTCACTCGTCCCGGTCTGAGTTCAGTCTCTTTTCGCGAGCATAGCTGCTAGTAATCTAGCAAGATGGTATTGTCGGCAAAGACAAGAGTGACTGTAATGGCCATTTCTGGCTTATTA